AGGACGAAATCCAGTTAAGTGGTGGAGTTTTGTAATTTCTGGTTTTCGATATGTTCCTAATATCAATTAAGAATTTTGGTCAAATAAAGAGGGTGAAAATGCAATAGGCATGGTGTGTGAGATGTGTGGCACGGGGTGTATTTATTTGGGCGTGACACAACGTAGTAGATGGGTCTAACCCTAGTTTCTTGAGATTTAGGCCCTATTTGATGGAAAGAACTTCTAGGGTTTCTCATTATGTGTAACCTCACCCTCCAAAAACCCTTGAAAGCGTTTTATCCTTTCCCCCTTTTGAGTTCTCTTGATCATGGAGGCTTTATGAGTGATTTTGAATAAGAAGGTGGTGTTTTTGATTCTAGCTAAGAAAGATCCAACCAAAGTTCTACACTCTCATCATCATTTGGACATCCCCTATAAACATCAACTTGTATATAATGATAGATATAAACATCTTGTAATTAATAATACCTATAAAAATTATCCAAATTTACAAAATAATTATCTTCATTATTCAATTCTCAACTTCAATCATGTCACATCCTCTATTTTTAAGAACCAAATAAAACTTTTTCTTTACACTTTAAAATAGCATGATGTCTTTGTTGCGGAAATATCTCAGTTTAATAAAACATTTTGAGATAACAATATTGTTTCAAAATACCAAAACACTAAGAATGTCATAATTAATATCCAACATAGGATACAGTGTAAAGACATAAGATCCTGAATACTATTACAGGTTTGTCTCTTATATCACTCGACATCCTATTCAAACTCCAACAGCCTTAGTACCTCTACCTGTTATGCATATAAATTGATTCGGTCAGGTTGAAAAACATGGTGAGACACATAGGGTTTTCAATCCCATAATATTTATAGTGATAAATAATCATATACAATAATCCTGCAAAACAAACATTATCAAACAATATAGATAAATAATCCAACATAGATATCTATAAGACAATCTACCCATCCATTCCCAACCTAATAGATTCTCACAAATCCTAATTCAACGATCACATAGAAGTATCACCTTACCTGATGAGTTGTTTGAGAAAATGTTTGACTACACAACTAGGGTATTCCTTGGTCGGAGTAAGTTATTTTAAGGCAACTAATGTTTAGAGTATTTGATAAATATGGTATCCCATTGTATCTATGTATGTTGGTTATAAGTCCACACTAGCAACGTAATTCAAAAGGCCTTCTAGAATAATCAAGTGTTGTAATCTTATTATGGGAGATGGCCCAAACATACCTACCAGTTGTCCGAAACACACCCACTATTTATGGCTGTCAAGAAAGAGGAGGACTATTACACTCTGCTTAATCTCGTACATTACCCCAAGTGAGACTATTTAGTTATTCAAATTACTTCGAACTAAGCATCCTTTACAAGCCTTAGTATATAACTAAAACAATATTACGATATAAGGAATTGAATTCCAATACAGTTTCATGTTCATGCAATATTATCATAATTCAGGATATACGTCTAGCACATAATACAAACAATATACATTTAGTATATATTTAATCTTTAAAGTAATAATATTTTTATTAATATTATGCTCTTGAAAGTAACTATGCACTCACTTGGTTAAAGATGGAAGATTTGTGGTTAAGTCAGCGCTTCGTCTATCACATTAGCTTTTCCTTTAGAAAGACCTAAGATATAAATAATACTAAGTTTCAATTATTGTTTATATTATTTGTGACTATAATAATAGTATCTCAGATTCATCAGTAATCCTAAATGAACACTAAGTTTTATCAGATAAGGAATGACTAGTAGGATCATATTGGAGGTAGAATCCGTTTGATATATAGATATACTCTTTGGAAATCCACTTTAAACACCTCACTAGATCTTTCCTAGACATCACTCTCATAAGTAGATCAATCAATATAATGACTGTATTACTGATAAATCTTCTTTATATGTGTATAATAATGATAATTAGCATAAATATAACTTAGTTACACTTCTAAGCATAGTAAGTGTAGCTTAACTTAGAGGGTTTTAGCGAAGACTCGGAAATTCTGTGGGCTGAACTTCGACACCGAATTTTTTTTTCGGAGTCTTTAAAGCCGCAATACTTTGAAAACATGCTCAAAACTCAAAAATCTGATCTCTAGGTGTGACAACCCGAAACTTCTACCTGGAACATCTAGTCAATTTAATCAATGTTAAACTCATTTCTGTTAACCTCTAGCACTGTTTAAGAGTTCATTTAAGCGTTCTAAGCTTTAGTACAACCAAGGTCGAGGTTAGGAATGAGTCAGCAAGTCGTATAGTGACAAAATCAGGCCATACACCTCTTTTGGAGGAGTGTGCGGCCGCACACATGGGCGTACGGCCGTACACACCCCTCATGGCCACACACCCACCCTTATATAAAGGTTAAACCCCTTTCCTTTCATTCTTTTCACTCCTTGGCAGCACACAACACCATTTCTCTCAAGCATCTTCAACCGTGAACCCTCCAAAGCTTCAAAAACGTGAGTAATCCATCCTTTAGCTTGTTGTGCTTGAAGAACCTCTTGATCTAAGCCTTGAATCATCGAGTCCCGTCATGTTCTTCATCTCTTTGAAGGAGTGCGGCTACACACCCACATAAGGTGGCCTCACACTCTTAAAATACCCTCCAAAGTGAGAGTTTGACTTCCATATTCGAGGTGGACATGACCCTAGCTTTGCTACACCTTAGAATTGGCATTTTGGACATCATCAGGTAGGGTGTATGACCGCACACACCTGTGTACGGCCGCACACACCCTTGTGCGGTAGCACACTCCTTGTGTGCGGCAGCACACTCCCGTGTGCGGCCACACACTCATCCTAGGGCCGCAAACCCACTTCTAGGACCCTTAACTTGTACTACAATTGAGTATAGACCTAGAACACTTCATGGATGCAAGTATGGACCTTGAAACCACCACAAAGGCACCTCTCATCATGAGTGTACGGCCGCACACCCCTTGGGCCGCACACACCTTTAAGGTGGCCATACACCTCCCTCATGCAATCCTTTAAGGTCCTAACACTTAGTGCAATTAGTTCCAAGTCCCTAGAGTGGTTCTCTATCATATCTAGTAGTGAAATACCTTCGTTTGACTCCTTTATGTGTCATTACATGTTGATTAGGATCAAATCGTGTTCAAGGCTTCACTTGAACATCCAGCATTCCGTATCGACCCTTCATTCAAACCCCCACCCGAGGTGAGTTCATACCCCTACATTTTTCGTGTTTTTAGTGTTTTCAGGGGGGAATACAAGCCAAACTCAAAGTATTTTATTAAGTTTTAACCTTATTAATATAGTCCAACGATTTCCACGTTTAATAACATATTCGGATATTTTATCCCTTTTTGTAATATGTTCAGCATAAGGGAAACTTTTATTTTGGAAATCTAACTTCATAGATTTCAGAAAAGTTTTTACAAAGCATTTTCCATATCAATTCTAATAAACTATAATGGGTATAGTTTGGGATAGCCCTCTAGGCAGTTTTTACCAAATCAGATTTCATGGATGAATATGTATAAACTATGGCAGATTTAGTTTATGTTATATATTTTCTCAGGAGTATAAAGTACAATTATTCAAGGATAATTATTGTTTTATACTGTTTCTAACTCGTAAACTAGATTATACAGAATTGTGAGGCTCTACTTCAATACTGTACCCTTAGGTGTACAGGGATAAATCCTATTATAGTATAACCAGAGTCTCCTGGAGGGAGAGCGTGAGATTTGTGAATATATCTATTCGGGACTGACAATCCCACACCTGAACTGCTAGCTACAGTTAGGCAGGCATGCCTGAGGTGGACAAATGTCATTTAACTTAACGCCTGAAGAACGTTGGAAAGGTCTCTAGGTCATATCAAGTATGTTTATACGACTCGCAAATAAGTATAAACTAACTTTGGTTTACGGACTCTACTCTTCATTTGTTTTATTTAAAGTAATAAAACTACTTTCATATATACTGATAGTAATCAGGGATTTCTAAACTTGCATCTCTACCTCTAGGACGGATAACTGTTTTAGGGAAAATATGAGATTTTCCCAGGATAACACCGGTATCTCTAAAACTGATGGTTTATTTTCTACTAATAGATATTCATATTCATTCCATGATTCCTTGGATTGTACATATCTTGTATGAATTTGGAAGTCATGGAAGGAATGAGTTTTCAAACATGCTTTTCATAAGAAAATATGGGATTTTCTTAAGAAACACTTTTCAAAAGGATCAAAGAACATTTTCCACCAAAAAAAACTAAATGCTTATGATCTCACCAGCTTTATGCTGATATTCTTTCAAAACGGCTTGTATTCTCAGGGAATTAGTAGACAGGTACTTCCAGGAGTTTGGAGAAGTCGGAGTGTTAGAGTCACGTTCTTCTATTTTACTTTTGATATGAACAAAACTATGTATTAAGACAATGTAAACCTCTTTCATATATGTATTCAATGTTTGGTGGTGTTTACTATGCTTGCTATGATGCAATTGTTGTGATATTATGCATGACGTCAACCACCCCCGAACGTTTCCGCCGTTCCGGTTTGGGGGTGTGACACTAGGGTGCGGGAAATAGTTAGAGAGAAGGTTATATACAAATAAGTAGCAAAAACGAAGTCTATATAGGGATTTTGGAAAGGCGCGTTATGTTTGGTGATGTGGCTGATTCCTATGGACCCATGTGTCATCAAGGTAGGTAAGGGAGGTTGTTTCCGGACGTGCCATGTGTCGTCTTTTCTATGGTTTCACGCCGCTTTTTTCAGGTAAAATCTCACGATCTTTGAAAAATCATAACTTTCGCATACGAGCCCCGTTTTCAACATTCTTTATATCCATGAATTCTTATCGACGAGTACTACAACTTTCGTTTAGATTTCATAAACTAATCACATTCTATTTTCACTTCAGAGTTTGTAAAGATTACAATGTGTAAGACTTTGTGAAATTCATAACTATTTCATAACACATGGCATGCAAAATGAAATGTAATACCATATATGATAAACTATTTTAATAGAACCAATAATATACTCAAAATAATTCAACAGTAAGGAAACAAAATCGTACATGTAATAGTATGGAAGTATCCTCATTCCTCATAAATAACGCAAGCACATGATCCTGTCAAGTTTGCCCAAAAAGAAGTATCATAAGAACATTATTTACTCCAAATTACACATTACAAAACATATAAAAATAATAACCCTAATCCAAATTGATACAAATTAGCATCATCATACTCAAAATTTAAAAGCAAATAAGCAAGAACCACCTATAACCAAAATCACCTTATTTCACAAACGGGACAAATAATGATTTAAAGCCAAAATTGTACAAAAACTTAAAAAATAGCAATTTCTTTTTTACCTGGGGAGCTTTTCTTATCGCTTTGTTGACTCTTTACTTTCAATTTCGGTATCGTTCATCTTTTCAACCCCATTTTCCTTTTCTTTGATCGTATCTGCATTATTTTTAGTTTCACTATCTATAAAAATCAAACAATAACAAAGTTAATGAATATAAATTTAATAAAATACAAATCCTAGATAAATATAATAGAACATGGATTAATAAAATTACATGTGACCTGGAAAGCAGCTAAGGTTTATAAAGGGCAAGAAAGGTGTGGTATAGTCGTTAAAAAAGAAGGTAGTGTTTGGGAGTGGGTGGTGATGGACTGTAATCGTACAAAATAATCTTGTTGCAATAGAACTGCATCATCAATGCCATGTCATTCCAACTATCTAATGAAAGAAATCCAATGCAAATATCCAATACTATAAAATTGGTAAAGATATATAAAAAATGAGTATATACATTGACTAACCATCAGCTTCTACAATAGCTAAAGTTGTATGTCGACTTTTGCAGTGATCTTCCTGTGACCTGCAAAAAAGACATTTAAAGAAATTCAAGAAAATTACAATGCAACATAACCATAGAAGAGGCGAAAGCCAAATAGACAGAAGCAAAAAGAGTGAAAATCGTTAACAAAAGGGAGCAAAGAATGTTAGAAGACAAACGTGAGGAAGACAATGATTGGAGTGTAAATGAAAGATCAACGAATCAACGGAGGGCATATGAAGAAGAATTTTGATTCAAGGGATGAATGGATTCAGGGCTTCAATACCTAGTCGCTCAAAACATACACAATCGACTATTTCTGTGTAATCTCTTCCTCTCAGCCTCCTATCAGCAAAGGAGATGCGAACATCGTATGCCAAAGGACGCCGACAAATTCTAAACTTAGCAAGACGGCAAAGGGGGTCGACGGTGGTGCGTTGGTGGTCTCGATAGAGGAAAATAGGTTCTCTGTTCGCCTCCAAACGGGAAATCGACGGGTCAATTGTGGAAATCGGCGTTGCAGTTTGCGGGTGGCGAGATTTCTTTGTGTGGCCTTGATGTGTCATTGAATCCAAACAGAAAGAAAAACCGAGTTTTGTTTGTTTAAAATCTATCGAGCTATTGAGGCGGTGGATCATCTATTGTTTGCATCTAACTGGAAGCAGTGGGTGTTAGGAGCAAACCAGAGACTAAACTTGCCAACCCCAGAAAATATTGTGGAAAATCATCCAAAATTAGTGTTATATATAATTTTCTGTTTAATAAGTAATTAAAACACATGTGACTAATATCGTTCTTCATAATAAGGATAAACAATCATTTAAATATATATATATATATATATATATATATATATATATATATATATATATATAAAACTAAAATCTAAAATATTTTTAGTTATTCATCAAATCATACCCTAACCACCCGCAACTCATCCAACTACACGCTAAACCGCATAACTTGAATTAGAACCTCCGTGGTTTCTGAAAAGCTCAAACCATAGATGCAGTGTGGTTTGTAGTTTTGACTGTAAAACACACCATACATATCTAAAGATTATGCAGCAATGTGATGACAAAATTTCTTATGAATGCTTGGGAATTTACTTAGAAGTGTTACATCTACATGTTAGAAGTTCATGGCATTGGATCACATTTATTTGGCTAAATAGATGAATTTTATTCATTATCTACTCTTTGTCTACCTTTAATAGGTAGGAAACCCATTCGCAATTTATTGGAAATGATACTTTTTAGTATTAAAATAAATATATGAAATTACACATGAAAAACATTTATAAGATGCACGGAGTTGCTTTAGGTGGGTTTCGGGCTAGTAGTGGCTCTCATTCTGCAAGAGGCAATAACATAGTATACTGCTTTTCTTTTAATAAAATGATTTTTCAATTATAGTTTTATTTATTTTATTTTAAATTTCTAAAAGTTTTAAAATTAAAAATGAAATAAAATTGTCTGGGTTGTGAAGGATCGATGTCATCACTTTTTTTTCTAATTTATTAAATTATTGGAATATTTTGTAATCATAAAAAATACGTTGTTTTTAATTTTTAATAATATATAGTTATGTTTATAAATGAATAAGCTATATTTGAGTATTAATACAATTGTAATTATAAATGATTAATTTGGAAACAAAAACTTCCAATAAAGTTGTAGTCGTTAAAGATTAGAACACTTCAGTTATATCTATAAAGCAATAAACAACGTAATAAATAAAACATAACATTATATTCATAAATGATTAAAACATTTTATAGAAAAATATTTCAATAAAAAATAAGAAATTATGAAACTATTTAAAATGAATCCTTTCTATATTGATTCTTAATTGGCTGGGAAAGTTTGTGGTGATTGGTCGATGTCCTTCAAAGTGTTGGATTTTTGTGATGCCGACAAAAGTATGTCCGTACCAAGTCATCATCATTGTGTTTATTCATGTAACTAGGCGAATGTCCGCGCGTTGCGTGGGATATAAAAAAATATTTTATATTAAAAATAACTAAATCATTGTTATTAACAATTAAATAATAATTTCATAAAAAATATAAAAAATGATTTTTAGTATTGTTATTATGTTGAACTATATTATAAGAGATAAGGTTGGAACTTGAAGTTGTTTTACATATACAAAGTTATATGATTAAAATAGAAAAAAAAATAATTTTTAAAAAATAAATAAATCGTTATTGTTATCTGTTAAATAATAATTTCATATTAAATTAAAACGTTTATATTAAATATTATAATTATGTAGAAAATACGATAATAGAGACATCTTTTTATCTATCTTAAATTTTATCATTTTGTACAACATATGATAATAGAGACAACTTTTTATCTTAAATAGTAAAAAAAATGTTTTGTATCATAAATATTACCATAATTATGTAGAACATATGATAATAGTGACGTCTTTTATAAGGTTAAAACTTTAAATTGTATTACATAAAGAGTTGTAAAACTTGGCTAACACAACCAAATACTCAGCATGTGTTACTTAAACTCGGCCTCCAATGGAAGCGAGTTTGCCTAACTCAGCCAGAAGACACTCGGATCCTTATTAAACTCGATCCAAATCTAAAAGATACGGTCCAAAATAATTTTCGAAATTCTGAAATTTAATTGGTCACTTGTCGACAAAGACAATCTCAACAAAGAATACACTCAACGTCCTACAAAGTTAGATGCAAGGAAGATCTCATGGCATAGTCCCTTTGAAATATTTCACAACTTTTCCTATTTATAGAGGAGAATACATTCTCTTGTTTACTCTCACGATCAATGTGGGATGGAGACATTTTATTAAATTCATTTTTTTATTTGCCAATAATTTCATTTTTTTAAATACAATATTAAATAATAAAAATAAAACGTTATCCAGAAAATTTATTGTTCAATAGTTCCATTTTTCAGTAATCTCGTAAGTTGCTATAAAAAATTAAGTTTTTATTGAATAATTTTTTGTTAAATCCTAAAATCATAAATTCAGTTAGGTACTTAATATAGAAAGTTTGTTTATATGTATTTTCATGATTTAAAATGTCATTATAAAATGAATTCATTTATAAAATATAATCGAGTATATACTTCGTGCTTTTGAATCAAAGTGATTTTTCAAACAATTATAATTTTATGTTTAGGTAGATTTTTTTATATTTATATAACATTATGTAACTTATAATATTATTATAAACAATTTGAATAATCATGGGAGTTTCAAATGTATGTGGTGAAAGGAAAATGCTTCATTTATCGGTCTAAATTGATCAAACTCGGACCGATTCAACTTAATATACCAAACTACATAACGTTTTTTCTATTGAAACCCGGTTTGTATATATTTTGTGTTTTTGAATCAAATTTATTTTTCAAACAATTATAATTTTATGTTTAGGTAACTTATTTATAATATTATTAGAAACAATTTGAAAAATCGTGGGAGTTTCAAATGTATGTGCTGAAAGGAAAATACTTCCTTTATCGGTCCAAATTGATCAAACTCAGACCGATTCAACTCAATATACCAAACTACATAACAGTTTTTCAACTGAAACTCTGTTTGAACCTAAAAAAATCTTGTTCAAAACCATTTTCGGGATTCTAAAACTTAAATGGACAGTTGCCAATAAAGACAATCTCACCAAAGAATACCTTCAACATCCTAAAAAGGTAGGCATAAGGAAGTTCTCATGGTTTGGTCCCTTTGAGACATTTCACAACCTTTCCTATTTATAGAAGAGGAAACGTTCTCTTGTTTACTCTCACCATCGATGTGAGATGAAGACATTGTAATAAAACACGCTTTCTTGTTAATAAAACATTATTCAACTTATTTAGTAAAACACCCTTTCTCTTGTTTACCATTTCTTTATTGTTCAATAGTTCCATTTTTCTATAATCTCGTAAGTTGCTATCCAAAAAAGTAAGTTTTTATTGAATAACTTTTTCTTCAATTCTAAAGTCATAAATTCAGTTAGGTACTTAATATAGAAAGTTTGTTTATATGTATTTTCAAGATTCAAAAGTTCATTATAAAAAGAATTCATTTATAAAAAATATAATCTACGTATATATTTCGTGCTTTTGATCAAATCGAATTGTCAAACAATTATAATTTTATGTTTAGGTAGATGTTTTTTTATATTTATATAACATTATGTAGCTTTTTTAAAATATCATTGGAAACAATTTGAAAAATCATGGGAGTTTCAAATGTGTGTAGTGAAAGGAAAATGCTTTTTTTGTGGTCCAAATAGATCAAACTCGGACTGATTCAACTAAATATACCAAACTACATATTTTTTTTCTAGTGAAACCTGGTTTATATATATTTCGTGCTTTTGAATCAAAGTGATTTTTCAAACAGTTATAATTTTAGGTTTAGGTAGATGCTTTTTTATATTTATATAAAATTATGTAACTTATTTATAATATTATTAGAAATAATTTGAAAAATCATGGGAGTTTCAAATGTTTGTTGTGAAAGGAAAATGATTCCTTTATCGGTCCAAATTGATCCAGCTCCGGTTCAACTTAATATACCCAACTACATAATTTTTTTTCTAACTGAAACACGCTTTAAACCTGAAAAAATTCCGTTCAAAACCATTTTTGGAATTCTAAAAGTTAACTGGACACTTGCCAATATAGACAATCTCACCAAATAATACCTTCAAAATCCTACAAAGGTAGGCATGAAGAAGTTCTCATGGTTTGGTCCCTTTGAAACATTTCACAACCTTTCCTATTTATAGAAGAGGAAACATTCTCTTGTTTACTCTCACCATCGATGTGGGATGAAGACATTGTAATAAAACACCCTTTCTTGTTTATAGAACATTATTTAACTTATTTATAATATTATTGTAAAGAAATTGAAAAGTCATGGGAGTTTCAAATGAATGTGGTGAAAGGAAGTTAAAAAAGGGGGGGTTTCAAATGCATGAGATTCAAGAAAAAATGCTAGCTTTATAAGTATGTATGATATGATAAAAATACTGTAAATATAAAATCGATTAGTTACCTTAAAATGAAGAACCAAATCTAATAATTTTACATATCCAATACCTCACTCTAGCCCTATACAAAAATCTAATCCTACCGTTACGCACAAAGATGCACTCTATCTATATTAATCTATGCATATATAAGCAAATGACATATCACAAACTAAACAAGTTAAATATAATCCTACTTTATTTAACTATGTATTTTTGTTCATTGTCCTAATATTTTTGAATAATTGTTATATTTTAAGATATATATGATACTAGTATGCTTTGAAATGTTCAATTACAGTTAAAATGGGAGCTGAGATGCAAAAGGACGAGAACGGAGCTGAAAAGGATGTCGTTGGACAGATTGACCTCTCGTTAGTATTTTGACCTATGTAATGACTCGTCCGATTAAAAAGATTCAAAATATTCTGAAAGCTAGACAAAATTTTGGACAACTTTTGTGTTCGCAACAAATTCTGATTCCATTCCCACACCATGGGATAGGGAATTTCCAAGCTGTAGAGGATCAAAAATCCTGGAAAAAAAAACGTCCGTCTCCATATATATGTATGTGTGCAATAAGGTAATCGATTTCCACGTTGTGGTGAGACCTCTACCATGTTGTAGAGTCATGAATCTATAAAAACACGAGATTCTCAACCCTAATCGTGGTGCAGCCATTGGTAGCCTATAACTACTCTTTTTACATCGTTTTTGACGTCCT